CAATTTTTAGCATAAGGATTTTAGAAAAAAGTATTGTCTTATAGTCGGAAAAATACGGTAGTTTTGTGGTAGGCAGTACCATTATTGTTAGTCAAAGGAATACTAGGAAAAAGATTTGTGGAAAGTAGTACTTTCTGAAATCAGAATGAAAAATTTCACTCTCCACTTCTAACAGCATAGGAAGTTAATGGGGACAGTAAGGATCTGACTTTTGTCTAGCATAATCCCACATTATTTAGCATTCTATATACTAACATTTTATTACTTACTTTTAAGTAGCTTTCCTTTATTTTCAAAAATATAGTTGTTTACTATTTAGGTAAGAACAAATAAAACAAAAGCTATATTTCAAATGGTCTCATAAATTCAACTTTTTACTCACCTAAACACTGGATTGTAAAAGCACAAGTGCTCCAAGTCATCACAGGAATACGTGGATCAACTTCATTAGGAGCAACTTGTAATCCAATTCTGTAAATTGCTGTGGCAAAGAGAACCACCATCTCTTTGATGCTATTTGAATATTCAACTCTGTGGAAGGAACACAGAAGTTGTGAGCCGGTGATGATAAAGTTCAAAGGATAAATTGTTATATTACCTGCAGTAATTTTCTTAATTATGTCAGAAACGTGCAATACTAAATTGTCACTGAAAGTTATAATCCCTGGAAACAGGCGTGAAATCTTAGTGCTTCAGGCTAGCTGCATTTGCTCAACAATGGTCTAGTGTAGTGTTTCTCAACCTTGGCCATTTTAAGATGTGTGGACTTCAACTCCCAGAATTCCCCAGCCAGCATGGCTGTCTAGGGAATTCTGGAAAAGGGTTACTATACTAGCTAGGTTCATAGAACAAAATGAAAATCTGTTCTTTGCATGATTAAGATAAAATTAAAACTTCAACTCCCAGAATTCCCCAGCCAGCATGGCTGTCTAGGGAATTCTGGAAGTTGAAGTCCATATATCTTAAAGTGGCCAAGGTTGAGAAACACCAGTCTAGTGTAACAACCTGTGCAACTTTCAGTTGTGTGGACTTCAGCTACTAGAATACTCAGCAATGGCTATGCGGGCTGCAAAATTCTGGGAACTGAAGTCCACATTGCTGAAAATTGCCCTAATTGGATACATTACACTATATCATTCTCTGTTCTTTGCATGATTAAGATAAAATTAAAAATTTAAGTCTAAATTGAACCAGAGTTGATGTTACATCCCTAAAACAGTGTGATTGGTGACTAGCTAGAATTCAAGTTGGTGCATTTTCCTCTTTTAGTTTGAACAACAAAATGAGAGACAATCAAAATAAGCTACATAAATGAGCTTCATTATATTTTCAATAAAAAATACTTCATTTAAACACAAGAAATAAAAACAATACATTAAAAAGGTAATATAAAGAGCATATAGTCAACACAGGATATAATTCTTTTAGAATTATATTAGAAATATATTGTAGCTTTTAATGGAATTTTCATTTTGTTCTATGAACCTAGCTAGTATAGTAACCCTTTATTCAGCAACTGGATAATGTTTCAAACTATTTCATGAAAAAAAATATGTCAATTTAATTCATCTGGATTTAGAAGGAAGAAAAGAAAAGAAAAGAAAATACTTACAAAGGCTGAACTCCAAAGCTAAGTATAGAATGGAATTCAGATGAAGCATCTTTCATTTCTTTATTAAGTAAAGATGGAGCAATTCTGGTTTCTTCAAAAATTAAATAAAAATATTGTTACAACAGTTTGATTTTAACTAACTGAAATACAATACTTTTACTATAAAAATGCTTACTTTTACTATAAAAATGCAATTATCAGAGTCATTTGGCCAAAATGGTTTCTATTTAGCAGCATCTTGTGAGAAATTAGATAGCCCAGATATACATGCATAAAGATTTGTATTTCTGCCTAGGTGAGTTACCTTCAGGTGCAGAAATGATGACAAAGCCATCCTAATGCAATATACTGGGTACAGATAATATACCAAGGGGAAATTAATAAAACATAAAAGAAATGGAACCACTATCGACTACACTAGTAAAATACAGCCAGAGGAAAGGATTATGAGAAATAATAAAGGTCAATGGAACAATCTTGTAACTGGAAAACTTAAATGGGATAACATCTTAACTGTTTAAAGATTCAACAGCATTTTAAAATAGTTATCTCAGTTGTAAAATTTTTCATGAGAGTCACTAACCTTTATTGTTTTTCTCGTTGTAACCAGCTATCCGAGCCATAACAATCTCTAGCCACTTTGGCAAAGACAGAAGCTGAGCTACCATTTCTGCATCCTCACTGACAATACAAAAAATAGCACTCATCAGTCTTTGGGATGTGCATGTTTTACACAAGACATCATTTAAACAGCTATTTGGTTTTGATGGTGATTATTCAATATGAAATGATCTCACTGTGGTTGTTCCAGCTATCAAAAATTGGTATTTCCTCCAAAGTTGAGAAAGATTTTAGACTGGACAACATGTTGATAAAATGCTCATATAACATAGCAAAGAATCATGTACTTTCCCTATAAATGCAACAAAAGCTGCTGCAGATTATAATGTAGGAAAAATTAAATATGATCACATACCTGTTTATCTTCTCTGCTTGCAAAGGAATAATTGGTATCACAGTATTGCACAGGGATTTGCACAGTGGGCAAAGGTACTCTCCGTTCCCTAAATCAAAAACCTGTTCAACATGATGACGTTGTCGAGAATTCAGTTGAATGGCTTCAAAGTATCTGAAATATTCAAATGGACATCCCAGATTAAATCTCCTAGTACAGGCATGCAAAAACCTAGTTCTGAAGTTTGGTCATTCAGTTTAACTATTTACCAAACCTTGTGTTGTTTTAAGAAATCAGAGGGTCTTTTGGAAGATAACCACTTTTACAGTGCAGTGAAATAAATCAATATGCATATGAAATCAAGTGCTGGTCAACCCAATAAGCAAACATTGAAATTTTTGAATGGTAGCTAAACAAGGACTATCTGTAATAATAATCCCAGAAATCTGCTGGTTGGATTCTTCCCTTCCTCCTTCTGCAGAACTGTTATCACAAGTGTCCTCTGGGAAGGATTCTAGAAATGTCTTTTTTGTTTCTTTTAATAGCATTTACTATAATTTTTATTTACAATTTTGAATACTGTTTCGGAGCTGCTTGGGGAGGACAGTGATCCTGAAAGGCAGGATATATCATAAATAAAAGAGCTGTATGAAGCATGCAAAGGGATGCATGGTGCAGCAAGCCGGAAGAAGTGAACATGAGGCAACCACAGGTTCAAGGATCAGGATTACTGCTTAAGGGCTCCCACAGGTGGTCTTCACATGCCTGCATATAAATGGCCCCTTTGCCCACATTTTGCTTTCCAGAGCAGACAGGCAGGCAGCAGCCTCAAGACCTCGAGGACGAGAGCTTCACAAAGCACTCTTTCAAACACTTTGCACAGTCCTAATAAATCATTATAGTACATGCAGGTAGTCCTCACCAATTGCAGTTGGGATCAGTATCTCTGTCACTAAGCGACACAGTCATAAAGTGAAACATCACATGACCATGCCCGACTTACGACATTGTTTCCGGCTGTGGTCGTGAGGCAAATCACCTGTGGTCATTAAGCACGATGTCACATGACCGTGAGTTGAGACTTCCTGCTGGCTTCCCCATCAATTTCCCTTGTTGGAAGCCGGCTGCAAAGGTCGTAAATGGTGATCATGTGATTGTGGGATGCTGTGACCATCATAAACGTATGCCAGTTGCCAAGCAACTGAATCACAATCATGTGACCACGGGAATGCTGCAATGGCCGCAAGATCAAGGACTGGTCATAAATCTCCTTTTTCAACCTAACTCTGAACAGTCACTGAATGAGCGGCTAGTAAGCAAGGACTACCTGTACTTATTGTATTTATATGGAACAGAAAGTACCATCAGTAAAAACAATCAGGCAATAGTTCCACACAGACAAAAGTTGCATATAAGCAGCTTTAAAGAAACAAGAAATTAACGTTCACATCACTAGCAGTGACATAGGAGTCAGCCAGCCAATCCTAGTACAAACTGATCCCTATAACTGTTGAGAGTTATCAGAAAATTATTCAAAAATCAGGTCATCTGGACATAGTTTTAAGATATTTAAAATACCTTTTGGATACTTGTTTAGCTCTAGAATTACCAATTTAAATGGGCAGTTGTATTCATGTGTTAGAAATGAGGGATTGCTCTCAACCCAGTATGAAAACCTGGTTTTCATATACTTTCCCCCCTCCTTTGAGAGGGAAACAGAAATGAATAAAGTGATATACACTGCATTCAGATAAATACAATCTCTCCCAACCAGTCTATTTATAACAGTGTTAAAGTCAGAAGGTTTGGGAGATTCACATTTAAATAAATGGGGTTGATATCGCATTTGTTAGATGTTTCATCTGTAGTAAGGCAGGTGCATGCAGACCTATTATTTAATAACGCATTCAGAATCTTTCCTAGAATATAAAGTCTGGTAAGGCTTGACGCAATTTAAGTTATGTGGCAGAAACAGTGGTTCAAAACATTCATGCAAATACACTACTATGCAACAGAAACTCTAGCTGTAAATCTAGTAAATTAGTACACAAATATTTCAACAGCAGTGTTTTTACATATTGTGCCTTTGTGTTTTAAAATTAGAAAGCACACAAAAAGCAAAAAACAATAATGCTGCTCATAAAGGAATCAAAATCCCATTTGTCCTTCCTTCCTTCCTTCCTTCCTTC